CACGGAAATACCGCAGAGCGCTCTGAGAACGCGCCGGGGGTGCGAACGGTTTCGAAATGACTTTGTCTTCATCGTGATATTGTGCACCCCTGGTGCACACTTAAGGTTCCGGTGCGACTTTTTTCTGCACCGGAACTGTAAAACACTTATTCCTTCATCACGTTGCGGGGCAGTCCCATGCGAACTCAAGAAGTACCGCGGGTGGGAAGCAAGATCAAAGGGTTTTTGGGAAGGGCTGCCGGATGGAAAAGAAAAGGGACGAGAGAAACCAGAGCCGTGAAGTGTCAGCATGCTGGTGCTGTGTTTCCACTTCGTGTGCGGCGCGCTGTGCTGCGAGCCGCACCAGTTGGGTAGAATGCAAGCCTCTTTGAACTTCACGAGTGCATCAAAGTGACGATAACGTGCGTTCATTCCTGCCGGGCAATCGTTTGTCCTGTGCATTCGATGTCGCATTTTGGCCCTCTCTTTTTCTTCCATGGTTCATCTGCGCTTTTCTCGGAAACTTCAAAGGAAGCACGACGTGCGATAGGCTGGAGGTGTACCGGTGAAATTGAGTTGTGCGAATGTTTCACCAACGCGCTGCGATACCTAGTTGAGGAATCTGATTGCAAGCAGAAGACGAACACGTGCCAAAGGTGTACAAAAACTGTGGAGCGACGTGACACATGTACCGACAGGGCACCCTCCATCAAGGAGCGACACTCCGATGTTGTTCCATTAGTATTCCCAACATTGTCACGATCGAGGTCATAACTTCTGAGTTGCGCTCAACCCCAGGCCTCGTTTTTTTCATTTTTTCTGGGCAAATGTTTACAGCACCGTCCCTTGCGGAAGTACATACTGGCGCAACATACTCTACAAACTCGTCCTTGCTGCTGGGCGCCCCGGACGTTACATCAACGTCCCGGTGGGGACCAAATCCTCCGCGATTCTCGAAGAGCAGTACGGTACGTAGAACAACAGAATCGCTACATCTTTCCGTTTCAAGCTCGGCTTCGACATCGCAAACTTCAGCATGGTTCGAATCAAGCTGCAGTAGAAACATATTCACGAAGAGAGCCACTGAGAACGGCTGAGACCTCGTGAAGGAAGAACCCATGTCGAAGCCACGAGGGGTACACCAGCGCTTATTCACCAAAAAACTTATGAACTTCTGTTGTGTCTAACCCGAACATTCAACGTGATGAGACAAGAGAATATGTCTGTCTCCTCGATTCCTCTTGACACTTTTGACGACAGTCCGCGTCTTCGGGCAAGGGTTGGGGGGCTTGAGCGTCTCTTGTGTTACCCATTCAAGCCCTATGTTATTTCCAAGTAGTTGAAGATGTGGTGGTACACGAAAAGAACACCTGTAGAGAGAATACGAGAAACCTAAAGACAAAATCACTCCCACAGACCAAGCCTTCACGAATGACCATGGCCAGCTACTGAACCCGGAACATTGCATTCCATGTGACTCTAACAGCGGCTCATTGCTGAGACCCACGATAAGGTGGAGCTGACAGGGTGACATGGTCAACCACGCCACTTTGCTACCGTACAGCACGGAGTAAATGCCTCACACGGAAACGCTGCGAGGTCACAAAACAGCAATGACAGATGATGAAGCGAGCGCCTCCGGATATCGTTGAAAACAGAGCGCCACGAAACCACTGGGACCTCTACCCGTGTCGCCGATTCCAAAGCCGGAAAACTGCAATAGTCCCGAAAATATGCAAGCGTTTCGATAGTCTACTACTGTCAAACACGACGTCAAATTGATTTTTGATACTGAATGTTTACTACTTGTTTTTGGTCGCTTCGTTACTGGCATGCCGTCTCAACACATACAATATAAGACAAATGTTCTTGAATTCGTCGCAAACAAGCTGGGCACATGAGTATATACTTTCGGTCTTCGGGTGCATAGGTTGAAAATCATACGATTGCAAAAAGCAGTGGTTGCTACAGCACATTATAATCGCTTTGGTTTCGTTTGCGTCAAGTTGAACGCTTGCGGAATGGTAAGCATAACAAACTGGTCGTACAGCTTCGACTGTCGTGACGTTTGCAGACATCACGCGAAGCGAAGGAAGACAGAAACTGGTTATACAGCTCAATCGTGCTCTGATTTGAGGGAGCAGATAATCGTAAAAGTTCGATGAAACCGCTTTTAAAAATATGTACCGTGTGGACCATACTCTGCGAGAAACATTAACGATCAGGGCAGTAGCCGTTGGCACTGGAAATGCAACAAAAAGAAAAATGTACTGCAATCCAAACACAATCAAAAGCCTGTGTCGCAGGAACATCCATGACGAGCCATGTCAGAAAAGCCATGCGTAACCAGTAGAGTGCGACTCAGAAACGTACACAGTGGGTTCAAGGAACTATCGATAGTTATATTCAACGAAGGTTGATATCTTGCCCTCGTTGTGAATATTGAATGAAATGAGCTTTGAGAGAGGAGGCGACGAAGTAATTGTTCGGTGCGGTGACTCAACTTCTGCTCAATAATCAAAATTGTACTGTAGTAACCATGGCGAAGGACGGAGTTACATACGGTAGGCTACCCCTGCGAAGGGTGAAAACAAGTACCCGAGTAGACCATCGTGGAAATTTGAGGCCTTGCTTGGGACCACGTCGTTCATTGACACGCGGACTTGGGCAATGGTCCTATCGCAGTAAGCAAGGGATCGCAAGAAGCTGGGTCCTGTTCATACCATGATTTACTCCGGAGTACCGAATTGTGGAATCGTGCGCGGAACATTGTCCCTTCGAAGCAAAACCAAGTCATGCAACCGTTCTGGTCTTGAACGGAAAACGCTGGAAGGAATGTTGTGGGAGAGGTTGTGCGCCAGTGACACATACAGACTTGAGTTGGAACATTTTCAATTTTTATGTCAGTCTAACCCATGTCGCGCAGATCGTATGTTCTAGAGACTCTTGAGAGACCTTTGCGTGGTTGACGGATACTGGAAGAGGTCCTCGGCCACTAGAGAATAGGGACGACTAAAATAGATGTGCATGCCGTTGAGGTAGTGAGCTTGATGTTTCAGGAGGTATTGACGGGGTAATCCGTGCCTAGCCGCTGCCACGACTAATGACGTTGTCAACATTGCCAACCAACCTATACACCAAATGTCAATTCAAGAATACCAAGCGTCTGAAATGGAATGATAGACCACACTGACCGGTTAAAGTGGAAGGTCCCCAAAGCGCGGATGAAGGTTGGTTCCCAACTCATTCGATACTTAAATGGGCGATAGCGGCTAACGTACCTGCTGTACCTCCTGGACTTCGACGGGACAGTACAACAGCTATGACCAGCGGCTGTCACACCAAGCGAATCGCAATCGCACCAAGTACACGAGGTGGCCACCAGTCCCACGGGAGAGACGCCAAGCACGCTGACGCTAGGCTAGCATAGAACACGCCACAATATCAACCACAAACAGACTCCCTACGTACAACACAGCCAACCGCAAGGCCTCACCGGAAAGATTGTTGTCGCGAAGACTTAGCCACGTTAGCGCCGTCAGCTTGCCCAGCTCGCGCGGGATGGCGCCTGAGATATATGGCGGCAGCACGGACCGGAACGAAAAGAGTTTCACGTACCATGTCTGACTGCCACTCGAGAGCAGTTTTGCAACCATACTTCCCGCTCCATAACAAGACAAGAATGAGCAAGCTGCTCTTCATTTCGCGCATAACCCCGGACGCGTGCGAGGCATGTCAACTGCGGTCTCACCAGCTGAGGAGGTGTCAGTGTTTATACAATGTTCAAGAGATTACTCGTACATATCACAGGTGGGGCAGGGCAGTGGGCGAAAGTCAACGCATGTTCGTGGAGTCTGTACCCAAGGATACAATGGAAAGCGATTGCGAACTCCGAATTCGTGTAATGGACCGCACCAAAGACAAACGAGAACGAACCTCATCTCGAGGTCGAGTGAAACAAGGACATGGAACGTGACATTCGGGAAAAAGGCATAGACTGGTTTGGTGTGTTGTTCATGTCATCGGTGTGAGGTGAATCCGTGTGTCATCGTACCTCGCTTTGTACCAAGGCATTCAACGGGGCTTCGAGCGTGGTGCAGTAATGCGGATAGACCTGCATCTACTGAAAAGGCAGTTCATACGCAGGCTATGTGATGGTCCCCCCTCTCGAGGAAATCCTTTGTGCACTGGTGTGCCTCTCTTCGCTCGTAGACGCTTGGCTCTAATTTATGGGACAAGAAGATTCGTAATCTTCGAACGCTCAGCAAGTGCATGCTCCTCCTCGATACGCCTTGCCCCACCCGAACCGTTGTACAGTACTCCAGGCCACACACCCGTCCATTCGCCTGGGGCATGGTACGTCTGTCCTTCATCTCACAGAGTAGCGTACGCAACTAACTCCACTACCCCTCACGTCAACCGTGACTGTCGCCGGTGCTTTTTGTCGCATGTTGGCGATACCGTTGATGACATCAATGGGCGTTGGAAAGCCTGCTGTAAGAACTACCTCGGCAACTCTCTGATCTGCAAGACATCGTCTGGCAACACGAGGAATAGGCCGTCGAGAGTTTTCCCCTTGGAGACGGCTGTCTACCCCTGCCCCTGGGCGAAGAACCCTCTAGAAGGAATCCAAACGTGCCACCCTTTCGACCCCTACCCCTTGCTGCACTCTGTAAACGGTCATACAAGCAGCGACCACGAAAGGTCACTACTTAACGATGCAGGCGCCGCGGACCGCCTCCCCCCTACAGTAGGGCACCCATACGCTTATATCCTCGAAGCAGGGGTATATTTTGACGGTGTTGTCCCCCCCTTGCCCGTCGTAAGCTCAACCTCGACCCACGCCGGGCGTTCCCAGCATAACAGGAAGGCGCTTTTGCAGGCTAAGAGTTTCGGTAGAGGCATCGTAGCGGTAGTGACCGAAGATATCACCGAGGAAGGCCTCCAGGTTGACGGAGGGCTGCGACTCACAGCATCAAGATAGAGTAGAAAGAAAGCTCATGCCGAAGAGTTGCAAGAAGAGGAACAGCAGCATACCCGAGCAGCGATACATAGAGTCGGCTACGCACAAGCGTCGGCGGCAGGAGGGAGCGGCCGGGCAGGAGTAGAAGAGTGTTGCCTGCTGGGGAGAAGGCACTGCTGCTGTGGTGTGGTCCGGCAGACCGTTTGAAGTTGAAGCGCCCTCCCCACCCTACGCATGAAGAATATGTAAAACGCGGGTATGCCTGGTTTCCGTGCCCCCGCAGCAGTTTGATTCTTCCGTGTCGAGAGAGCCAGCATTATGGCACGAATTCAATGACAACGAGAGACAGAGAGAGACAGAGAGATAGAGAGAGCCACACACAGAGAGAGCGAGACGTACGTGCAGCAACTGCACTTGCCGTAGGTTTTGTGTGCACTTCCCCCCGGACCCCCCCCGGCGTTGCGATCCTTGGTTCACCTCACGCGTGGTTTGCTTGGGTCTAAAATATCATGTTTTATCGGCGTGTCTAAATCCCCCCCCCGGGGGGGATTAGTGATTACACCCCCCCCCGTCCCTATCTCCGCCCACAACGCACCAATCGAGCCAGGACATGCACGGCTATGTTGCTGTGATGTATTGCTATCGCGCGATACATCGTACAGCGGAAACGGTGCAGGTTTGGTGCAGCCATGGTTGATGGGCAAAGTATATCTGTTTTTACCCCAACCTGCCCCCCGGGGGGGATTAGTGTCTGATTACCCCCCCGTCTGTACCTCTGCCCACAAGGCCACCAATCGAGCCAGGACGTGCACGGCTATGTTGCTGTGATGTATGGCTATCGCGCGATACATCGTTCAGCGGAAACGGTGCAGGTTTGGTGCAGCCATGGCTGATGGGCAAAGTATATCTGTTGCCCCAACCCGCCCCCCGGGGGGGGATTAGCGCCCAAAACCACCCCCGTCTATATCTCTGCCCACAAGGCACCAATCGAGCCAAGACATGCGCGGCTGTGTTGCTGTGATGTATGGCTATCGCGCTACATCGTTCAGCGGAAACGGTGCAGGTTTGGTGCAGCCATGGCTGATGGGCAAAACATATCTGTTGTCCCAACCTGCCCCCCGGGGGGGGATTAGTGTCTCAATCCCCGCCCGTTCACATCTCCGCCAACAAGTCACCGATCGAGCCCGGACACGCACGACTGTGTTGCTGTGATGTAGGGCTATCGCGAGATACCTCGTACAGCGGAAACGGTGCAGGTTTGGTGCAGCCATGGTTGATGGGCAAAGTATATCTGTTTTTACCCCAACCTGCCCCCCGGGGGGGATTAGTGTCTGATTACCCCCCCGTCTGTACCTCTGCCCACAAGGCCACCAATCGAGCCAGGACGTGCACGGCTATGTTGCTGTGATGTATGGCTATCGCGCGATACATCGTTCAGCGGAAACGGTGCAGGTTTGGTGCAGCCATGGCTGATGGGCAAAGTATATCTGTTGCCCCAACCTGCCCCCCGGGGGGGGATTAGCGTCTAAGCCCCACCCCGTCTGTAACTCTGCCCACAAGGCACCAATCGGCTAATTAACACCGGTAGAAGTGTGTCAAAACATGCACGTACAGCGCACAGCAGCAGGCAGCAGGTGAGGCGACCAGCACATCACGTATTCCTGCCGACAGCTTAGCACGCATCCAAAGGGAACCGAACACTTCTTCTCTTCCTCTTGATGCAGACTTCTTTCAGCTTTTTCGTTTACGAGAAAGTATCCCAACACTTCTTCTCTTCTTCTTGATGCAGACTTCTTTCAGCTTTATAACGAGAAAGAATCCCACTGCACATGTGCGTAGCGCCTCAAGGCACCAATCGACCGTTCAAGTGTGTGGGACGTGCACGCANTATCCCAACACTTCTTCTCTTCTTCTTGATGCAGACTTCTTTCAGCTTTTTTTACGAGAAAGAATCCCACTGCACATGTGCGTAGCGCCTCAAGGCACCAATCGACCGTTCAAGTGTGTGGGACGTGCACGCACAGCACACAGCACACGGCAGCGAGCAAGAGGTGAGGTGACCAGCACATGAAGTATTCCTCCCCACAGCAATACAAACACCAAGTGGGAAGCGAACACCGCCGTCTCACTGGTGGGTACGAAAGCCTTGCTTGGCCCCCCCAGCGGTATCTCGTCATACATGACCTTAGTCTACACAGGATGTGTTGCTTCGCTGTAGGGCTACGGTATGACCCATCGTTAGCCCGAACGGCGTAGCCCTAAGGGTTCCGTTCAGGTGGTAACACCCCCAGTGAGGTAACCTACGGATGTGCTCCTGCGGGGGGGAGGGGAGGGGGGGGGATGTCCACCATGGACGTCGCACCTCTGTACGAGGCTCCGATGGCCATACAAGAACCGCAGTAGAAGCATAAAGATGATGCACGCACAAATTGATGCTCGATACTGAATGTTTACTACGTGCTTTTGGTCTCTTGGTTACTGGCATGCGGTCTGAACACATACGGTCCGTGCACAACACCTTGTCCAATAATTTCCCATGCACAAAGTGCAACTTTTCTCTGCACACACGTGGTTGTTCGAAAATCTGAAAGTACCTGCAAACGCCCTGTTTACAGGCGCAGGGCGTGACGGAGAGTTGTTGTTTGTTTTTTCTTTGACTTTTTACTTCCGAAAAACCGGAAAAACTTGTTTCGTTAACAGGGGGTGGAGTTTTTTGCCGATTCACAAAACTCAACGGATTTGGACATATCTCGGAATTCCGCACATGGATATTTTTTATTTTTTTCCAACTCTTGGAATTGAAGGAGATATCCACGAAAAACTGGATCTAGAGGGTCAAGTTGTTTCGTTTACAGCACAATAACTAACCAACCGATTCCAAAACAAACAGCGGCAAACGATTCCTCTCATCAGTCTCTAGATGGTTATTTTTTGTTTTTCCCGGGAAAACTCTGGTTCTCGAGACATCCCACATTTTGTCGTGCCGTGCTATCGGAGAGTTTCTTGCTGTTGGGCAAGACGCTCCCACAACAAACTGGCACACGTGGCGGCCCGAACAACACGACACACGCACGCAAGCAAGCAAGCACCATGGCACGGCCTAAGAAGAAGAAAACCGGCAAGCGCGGAGCCGATGGCCGGGCGGTTCCAAAGAAACCGAAACCGGCGCAGCAACATGATCGGCCGTCTCGCGGCGCTGGTGATGCGCTCTCCGACGGCCACGACAGCGCCGATTTGATGGACGTGGATCAGGAACAAGGCAAGGCAGCGGCAGACGAGGATGGTAATGACGAGGACTGGTGCGATGAGGATACCAGCGGCGCACACAGCAATGGTGGAGGTCAGTCGATCCTGAGTTTTGCGAAGTAGTCGGTGGCGTCCGCAGGTCGCGATGCAGGAAGTGCGGCGAAAAAAATCCGCGGCGTGTGCTGTCGAGAAGTCAGCATTTTCGCAACAGAAAAAAACTTCTCTAGGGACAAGCAGTAGGCTTGGCACGAGCTATGGGAGCGTTCATCCGGAAGTCGCAGCAGGAGCAGCAGGAGCAGGAAGAGGAGGAGAGCTCCTCTGCCAGCGGCGGTTTTAGAGGTTGAGTCGCACACAAGCTCTCCCGGCGGCGGCGGCGTTTTGGAGTTGCGCCGCAGCAGCAACAGCAGCATCGGCAACATGTCGATAGCTTCGGGCCATGGGCTTAGC